ACCCACCTCGAACAGGGTGAGCGGGCACCAGAACAGCACCAAGGTCCATCCACGCGGGCGCGCCGCACACGGTGAAGGCGCGCGGACTGGGGTACACGTTGACGGCGACGGGCTAGAGCAATATTCGCCCAGCGGAGGCGGACCCACGCAGCCAGGACACGAACTAGGAGCAACGTGTACATAGTACGTGCTGTCCTTTGGGCGCCCCTCGTTAACCCTGTCATTCCGCACACGGTACTTCCTGCCAGGAAGGCCCCAGCTGACAGCCTGCACATGGCACGCGCTGTCAGTGCACGGGGGGCCACAGCCGACATTCCGTCCATAGGACACCCCGTCAGTTCGATGGCCGCACAGCCCGTCACAACAGGCTGACGCATAGCACTCACATCGAGGTGGTCTGCGCATGGCACGTGCCATTCGCGTAGCAGCGCTGGCAGGCGCTGCCCTCAGAAAGGGGCTGATCGAGCCTTCTTCCTTCTCTTGTGCGCCGTAGCCGCATGCGTGAAGGAGTCGAGGACACGCTTGTACGCCACCCGCATGTCCGCGTCGGTGGCGTCGTCAGGCTGCGTGAGTCCTGCCGCCCCCAACGCCTCCCGCAGCTCGGCGGACTCCATGGGGTCGATGTCGATCTCCACGTCGTCCCTGTCAGCTCCTTCAGCGAGGACCTGCACCTGGCCTGCGAGGAGAACGGCGGTGGACGCAACACCTCCTCCTTCTTCCCCAGCAGGGGTCGCAGGAACAGGGGCAGCAGAGGGCACCTGTGCCGCCGGCGGCTTCGCCTGGGGAAGCTGATGGAGCCTCCCGAAGACTTTGGCCGCCGTCTCCAGCTCCGCCTGAAGGCCCGGGCCCAAGCTGAGCTCCACGGCCAACTCGCCAAGCTGCTGGACGACGACAGCGAGCTTCGGCAGCAGCTCATGGAGCGTGGGCTTGCCAGCAGTGGGCGGAGGGGCTCGGTCGGCGCCCAAGCGCTGGACCTCCTCCTCCAGCCGCAAGACTTCGGCATCTGCCTCGGCCAAGGAGTCCTGGAGCACCGTCTGCTTGGCAACCAGCTCGTCGATGACCAGCTGCTTCTCAGCGTGCCCCTCGCGAAGTCTCTTGACCTTGGCACGGGAGTTCCGCAGCCTCGCGGTGAAGGAGGCGACCTGATTCTCCAAGGGGCGCTCGGCGTCGAGTTCCTTGCCCAAGCGCTCCTTCTTTTCGGTGGGGGGCTTGACCTGCGCAAGGTCCGAGGCCACGAAGGATCCATCACAGACTTTAAGGAGCTCATTGATCTTCTTGATGCGGTCACGCTTGACCTGCTTCTCCGACGGGTCAGCGGTGCCTCCGTCGTCACCAGTGGGAGCCCCACGAGCGTGCCCACTGTCCAATCCGACGCCCGCCCCAGCAGCAGAAGCACTCCCCCAGCAGCAGCAGCAGCCCAAGGAGGAGGCGACCTGGCGACCGTGAGTTTCTTGACCATGGCCTGGAGGTCGGCAAGCTGCTTAGCCATGGAGGCGGTGTCGAACTTATCTTAAGATGCTTTGGGTGAGCCCGTGGATTTGGTCGCAGGGCTCCCTTTGGGCGTCTTGGGACCTTCGTAGCAGACTCCTTTATGCAGGTTGCATTTGGAGCACTGCTCGAGGTCGCCACGGCGTGCCGTCCCTCGTGACGCAATTCTTGCAGCGCCAGGGGTCACCAGCGAGGCGGCGCGGCATGGCGGCGCCGTGACGGATGTAAGGCCAGTTCGGCCGCAGTAACCGTTTATAGTCCAGGAATCCTGGGGACGCCACCCAGGAAACCCAGACGCCAAAACTTGGCTCGCAGAAAACAAAGAGCCCTTCCCAATGTTTCTACCCCTGCAGACCCGATTCGGGCCAGAAAGTGTTGAAGGAGGAGGGGGAGGAGGAGGAGGAGGAGGAGGAGAAGGAGGAGGAGGAGGAGGAGGAGGAGGAGGAGGAGGAGGATCTCCCCCCCCCCACCCGCCCACGTGCCCCGGTCCTGCCCCAGCCTCCCTCGATCTCCTCTATCGCACTCACTCAGGCCAACCCCCCCCCGCGGGGGGAGAGGAGCGGGAAGGGGAAGAGGGCTACAGTGGAGGCCAGTCCACAAGAAACCTTCCACAAGGAACACAACCCTGAGACCCCAGGATTGACTTTTGGTGTGGGAACGTCAAGCTTTCCATAGCAAAACCAGTGGAACCCAAGAAACCCAGGGCACCCTGGAGGCAAGCAGGGTGTTTCTTGGCATGGGCCTCCACTGTACAGGACGAGCTAGGTGCGCTCGCGCCACATCTGTCATCCTTCCCCTCCCTCACTTCCACTGCGCTGAGAGTTCTGTATCCGCCAACGGATGTCCTAGCAGACCTGTAACCCCCAAACGGCGGTGCGTGTTGGAGGAGGGGTTGGCAGATGCGCAGGAGCATGAGCAGGAGAGAGAGGAGAAGGACGAGAAAGAAGGAGGACAAGGAGGGGCTGCAGCAGGAGGAGCTGGAGGAGCAGAAGGACCCGGGAGAAAGCGGAGGGAGGAGGAAAAGGAAGGGGACGGCGGCGACGAGGCAGCACCCGGACCCAGAAGCGTGGCCCGCGCCGGGGCGAGAGCGCCAGGCTGCTGGACGACGGGAGCAGAGCGCCGATCCCGAAGGGAGGCCAAGGCTGCAGCAGAGGCACCGCTGTTGGAGGGGCCGAGGTCCCCCGGACAATCCTGGGAACCCGCACCAATCCTACGAAACCGCACCAATTCTACAAGCTCGCGCCAATCCCACGAACCCACACCAACCCTACGAGCTCGCACCAATCCTACGAGCTCGCGCCAAGCCCGTGCACAACAACAACCACAGCAACCACAACCACAAAAAGCACAACAACCACAACATCAACAACCACAACCACAACCACAACCACAACAACAACAACAACAACAACAATAACAACAACAACAACAACAACAACAACAACAACAACAACAACAACAACAACAACAACAACAATCACTTTACCCGAACGCTCAGTGTTCTCACCAGTGCCAGGGTTTTCATGCGACGCCAGCCAATACCCCCACTTTGTGGGGGGGCAGTGCAAGCTCTACCAAATATCCACACGACTCTTCGCCACCACCCACACCCAGCTTCCCGCCCTATGACGTTCGGACACTTCACTTCGTGGCCTGCGGACGACCGTGGCTACTACACTGGCGTGGAGTACACACCCACAGAAGTTGTTAAGCCTACGTTCGTACACCCACAGAAGTTGTTAAGCCTTGTTAACCCACAGAAGTTGTTAAGCCTTCCACAGAACATCTGTTGCATATGATGCATATGGTACATGATACACATGATACACATGATACGTACTCACAAGATAGTTGATCACATCTTTAGGGCAAATTCCTGAGGGATGTGGGAATACACAAGAGAGAGAGGATATGGTTGTCCCGATGGTTGTCTCGATGGTTGTCCCGATGGTTGTCCTGATGGTTGTGGTTGTCCCGATGGTTGGTTTTTGGAGATTTCGGCGTGCGCGCGCGAAGAAAAAACGAATGTGTCCCGCATGGTATTATTTGACAGGGATGATGGCCCTGGCAGGTGCGCAACCGTTGTCGCAGAAGTTCGAAAAAGTTGCTCGCAAAAGCCCGTTTGACAGAAATGTTTAAAAAGTGTTGGGTTTCCTACGAATCCGCAAGAGCGCGCGGGATGAGATTTTGACATTTTTTTGTTGAAAAACCATTGGTTTTTTGATGTTTTTATGTTAAAATCGCTCCGAACACTAAGCTTTTGGAAGGATTTCGTCTTGCGCGCGCGAATGTCCACTTTACCTTATTTTTTGCAAGGGATTCTTGAAATTTGATTATATTAGAACAAGAAATGTCATTTTATAGTGTTTTTTGCAAGGGAAAGCGGGGGGGAACAAAACAACCGGATCTTGATCACATCGAATTACCTGAGGCTTCCTCACGAAAATGATGAAAATGTAGCTGCGGCCTAGGCGGCGCAGGGGGGCCGTGCACCAGGGGTCCCAACAATAATTATTCTTTAGAATTAATAATGTTCAACAATAATGGCAACAACAGCAGCAATGGCAACAACAGCAGCAACAACAACAACAATAAGCACAACCACAACAACAACAACAACAACAACAACAACAACCACAACAACCACAACAACAACAGCAGCAACAGCAAAATCAACCACAAGAACAACAACAACCACAACAACAACGACAATAACAGCAGCAGCAACAGCAGCAGCAACGACAACAACAACCACAATAATAACAAGAGCAACAACAACAACAACAGCAACAACAACAACAATAAGCACAACAACAACAACCACAACAACAACAACTACAACAACAATAACATCATCATCAACAACAACAGCAACAATACCAACCGCAACAACAACAACAACAACAACAGCAGCAGTAACAACAACAGCCACAACAACAACAACGACAGCAACAAACAACAACAACAACAACAACAACAACAACAACAACAACAACAACAGCAGCAGCAGCAACCAACAGCAACAACAACAACAACAACAACCATAACAGCAACAACAACATCAACAACAACAGTAACAGCAACAGCAACAACAACAACAAAACATGCGCGGCGGGGGGGGGGGGCGTCCCTCTCAGGGGCGTCTTCCGAGGGGGGAGGGAGAAGGGTACAGTCAACCCGTATCGTAAGGATGCGCAGTACAGTGGAAGCCAGTCCACAAGAAACCTTCCACAAGAAGCCCAACCCTGAGACTCCAGGACGTCCATTGACTTTTGGTGTGTGAACGTCACGCTTGCCACAGCAAAACCATCGAAACCCAAGAAACCCAAGGCACCCTGGAGGCAGGCAGGGTGTTTCTTGGCATGGGCCTCCACTGTAAGGATGCAAGGGCCTTGGACATCCACTTCGAAGCTTTCCGAGCGGGGTCTGCGGGTTGACTGTACTGCTCATATAGAGGAGGAGGAGGAAGAAGAGGACGCCCTCCCCCATAATCTCACCCACCCACTCGTTGCACAATCGTCTCCCAGGACCAGTCGCGCGCGCAGGTATCGCTCTGAACGCCTCGAGGCTCAGTCCTCCTCGTCGTCGCCCTCTTTGTCGCCGCCCTTCTTCTGCATCATCTTGCGCCGCACACGACCTGCTCGGCCGAGAAAGGGGAGAAACGGCTCTTCCTCAGCCCCCCTTCTCCTCCTCATCATCATCCTTCGACTCCTCCTCATCCTCCGCATCCTCCTCCTCCTCCTCCTCCTCCTCCTCTCCTCCTCCTCCTCCTCCTCATCATCCTCCTCATCATCACCATCATCATTATCATCATCATCATCATCATCATCATCATCATCATCAGCATCATCATCATCATCAGCAGCAGCATCATCATCATCATCATCAATCATCAGCAGCAGCAGCATCAACATCAGCATCAGCATCAGCATCATCATCATCAGCAGCAGCAGCATCAGCATCAGCATCAGATTCAGCATCACCATCTTCACCAGCATGATCATCACCACCATCATCATCATCATCATCGTCATCGTCAGCAGCAGCATCACCATCATCATCAAAGTCATCAAACTCATCATCATCATCATCATCATCATCATCATCATCATCCCCTCATCCGCATTAGCATCCTCATCCTCATCATCCTCCTCATCCTCATCATCAACGTCAGCATCATCAGCATAATCATAATCGTCATCATCATCAGCATCATCATCATCATCAGCAGCAGCATCACCATCGTCATCAGCAGCAGCAGCAAACTCCTCATCCTCATCCTCACGGGCAGCAGCATCGTCGTCAGCATCTTCATCGTCAACAAAGTCGGCATCGTCAGAATCATCATCGTGATCATCAGCATCAGCAGCAGCTTCGGCATCCTCAGCATCACCGTGGTCATCACCATCACCATCATCATCATCATCATCAACATCACTGACATCATCATCATCATCATCATCATCATCATCATCATCATCATCATCATCATCATCATCATCATCATCATCATCATCATCATCATCGTCAGCATCATCATCATCATCATCCTCATCCTCGTCCTCATCCACATCCTCCTTATCGTCAGCCTCCTCATCAGCATCATCAATAGCATCGTCATCATCATCAACATCATCTTCATCAGCATCATCAGCGACCTCATCATCAGCAACGTCAGCCGAATCATCAACATCATCATCATCATCAGCATCATCATCAGCATCATCATCATCATCATCATCATCATCACCATAGTCGTCATCATCATCAGCAACAGCAGCATCAGAAGCGTCATCAAAATCATTATCAGCGGCAGCATCATCAGCATCATCAGCATCATGAAATGTAACGTCATCATCATCAGCAGCACCATCAGAATCAGCATCGTCGGCATCAGCATCGTCAGCATCATCATCAGCGGCATTGTCGTCGCCAATCATCATCGTCATCATCATCAACAGCATCGTAATCCTCCGCAGCATCATCATCAGCAGTATAATCCTAATCCAGATCAGCATCATCATCATCATCATCAGCAGCATAGTCATCATCAACATCATCATCATCAGCAGCATCAGCAGCGTCGGCATCAGCATCATCATCATCATCATCATCATCATCATCATGTTCAGCGTCATCATCGTCATCATCATCATCAGCATCATCATTGTCATCATCAGCGTCGTCGTCATCGTCATCATCATCGTCATCAGCAGCATCATCAGCAGCAGCGGCGTCATCATCATCATCATCAGCAGCATCGTCATCCTCATCATCGTCATCATCAGCAGTAGCATCCTCATCATCATCAGCATCATCATCGTCATCAGCAGCATAATCAGCATCATCAGCAGCATCAGCATCAACATCATCATCATCAGCAGCATCATCATCATCATCATCAGCATCGCCGTGGTCATCGTCATCGTCATCATCATCGTCAGCATCATCATCAAGAGTATCGTCGTCGTCATCATCAGCATCAGCATCTTCACCAGCATCGTCGTCGTCATCATCAGCAGTGGCACCCTCATCATCATCATCATCATCACCACCATCATCATCATCATCATCATCATCATCATCATCATCATCATCATCATATCGCCATCATCATCGTCATCGTCATCAGCAGCATCGTCGTCGTAATCATCATCAGCATCGTCATCCTCATCATCGTCATCTTCCGCAGTAGAATCATCATCAGCAGCAGCATCATCATCGTCGTCAGCAGCAGCTTAAAAATAATCAGCATTAACATGAGCAGCATCAGCATCAACATCAGCAGCATCATCAGCGTCATCATCAGCATCATCATCAGCATCATCATCATCAGCAGCATCATCATAATCGTCGTCATCATCATTGACATCATCATCCTCTTCCTCGTCCTCAGAAATATCATCATCCTCGTCCCCCTCACCCTCACCCTCCCCCTGCCCCTCCCCCTCCCCCTCCTCCTCCTCCTCCTCCTCCTCCTCCTCCTCCTCCTCCTCCTCCTCCTCCTGCTCCTCCTCCTCCTCCTCCTACTGCTCCTGCTCCTGCTCCTCGAGGTGCTGCACCGCCCGGCCTGGGCGGCCGCCCCCGAACGGGGAGGTGAGGGCGAAGTCGATGTGCTTCTCGCTGTCCTCGGGGCACCGCAGCCAGGACAGGCCCGCCCACCTCCGCTGACGAGGAGGAGGAAACGAGGAGGAGGAAACGAGGAGGAAACGAGGAGGAGGAAACGAGGAGGAGGAGGAGGAGGGACCATTTGACGATTTTAGGAGCAGGAGGGAGGGCCATCTGATTCTACACTCTAGGAAGAGGAGGAGGAGGAGGAGGCGGAGGAGGAGGAGGAGGAGGAATAGAAGAAAAAGGAGAAAGAGGAGGAGGAGGAGGAGGAGGAGGAGGAGGAGGAGGAGGAGTCGCGAGCCCATGGAGCGACGCGCCGAGTCAGAGGAGAAGGAGGAGGGAGAGGATCATTTGACGATCCAGGAGGTGGAGGAGGAGAAAGAGGACATCAGAAGGAGGGCCGTTAGACGATTCTGGGCATACCCATCCGAAGGTCGCACCTTGCCTGCGACTGCATGCCGTGGCCGAACCGAGCTTTACGGGTTCCCCTGGCCGAGCTGGCGCCCCTTCGCCCGCACACTCTGCGCCTGCAGAGGGCCAGCAGGCGCACCAGTCGTGAGGCCGTGAGGCCGAGGAGGAGCACAGTGCGAAAGAGAAGGAGGCTGGGCAGGGCTGGGCGAGAGGGAGCGCCCCAGACTAGGCACCTCTGCCAGCGCGCCGGCGGCCGCTCCGCGAGCGGTCTGGTCGGCTGCCCGCGGGGGGGCGAGGCACCCGCCGGGGCGGCCGCGAGACCGCAGACATCCGACAATCAGCCCGAGATCGGAGGTGAAGGGGTGAGATCGAAGTGGAACGGAGAGCCCCCCTTCCGGGAAATCGGTTTCGGTTTCGTGTTCGTGCGTGCCGTGCGTGCGGGCGAGGCGAAGCTGCGTGGGCGGGCGAGAAGAAAGTCTCCTCCGGCTGAGGCGCGGCCGGACCAAATGTTTCCTCTCTGGGGGCCTGTGGCCCGCGGTGTCCCGCCGGTGTCCCGCCTCCGGCTGAGGCGCGGCCGGACCAAATGTTTCCTGTCCGGGGGCCGGTGGCGCGCGGTGTCCCGCCGGTGTCCCGCCGGCGTCCCGTCGGTGTCCCGACGATGATGATGATGATGATGATGATGTTGTTGATGATGATGATGATGATGATGATGATGTTGATGATGATGGTGATGGTGATAATGATAATGATGATGATGATGTCGATGATGTTGATGATGATGATGATGATGAGGATGATGATGATGGTGATGGTGATGGTGATGGTGGTGATGACGATGGTACCCCGATGATGATGATGATGATGATGATGATTATGATTATGTTGACGATGTTGATGATGATGGTGATGGTGGTGATGATGGCGTCCCGATGATGATGTTGATGATGATTATGATGATGATGTTGATAATGATGTTGCTGATGATGATGTCCCGATGATAATGATGATGATGATAATCCTGATGTTGATGATGATGAGATGATGATGAGATGATGATGGTGGTGTCCCGATCATGATGATGATGATGGTTGATGATGATGTTGTTGATGATGATGGTGAAGACGATGGTGCCCCGATGATGATGATGATGATGACGATGATGGTGTCCCGATGATGATGATGATGATGATGATGATGTTGATGATGAGGATGATGATGAGGTGGTGATGACGCTTTTGATGATGGTGGCCCGATGATGGTGATGATGATGCTGATGTTGATAATGATTGTGTCCCGATGATGATGATGATTATGATGGTGATGATGATGATGGTGACGATGATGATGGTGTCCCAATGATAATGATGATGATGTTGATGATGATGATGATGTCGCTGATGGTGATGATGGTGGCCCGATGATGGTGATGATGATGTTGCTGATGTTGTTCATGATGATAATGATGAGATGATGATGATGATGATGGTGGTGTTCCGATGATGATGATGGTGTCCCGATCATGATGATGATGTTGATGATGCCGATGGTGACGATGGTGGTGTCCAGATAATGATGATGATGGTGATGATGATGATGATGTTGATGATTGTGATGAGGTGATGATGATGATGGTGTCCCGATGATGATGATGATGATGATGATGATGATGATGATGTTGATGACGTTGATGACGATGATGTTGATGATGATGATGACGTTGATTGTGAGATCGATCGTTATATCGATAATGAGATCGATAGTGAGACCGAATGTGCGATCGATTGTGAAATCAATAGTTAGATCGATAGTCAGATCGATTGTGAGATCGATAGTCAGATCGATTGTGAGATCGATCGAATTAAATAGATCGAGTGAGATCGATTGTGAGATCGATCGAGTGAGATCGTCGATTGAGCTAGACCGATAGTGAGATCGATAGTGAGATCGATAGTGAGACCGATCGAGTGTGACGTTGGTTCCTCCCCCCCCCGAACCTCCTGATCACCCGAAGTGTGGTCGTATAGGTATGTCCGCAATCATGAAAAGAACCATGATCACCAGAGGCGCTGGCAGCCACGTGACGCGTCGCATCGCGCCGAGGTCACCGCAAAAAGACCCGACTCGGGGACTGGAGGCCGCCTAGATGGGGTTCGAGTGGATGGGGTCGAAGGATCGCGCCGCATCCCCAATTCATTGCCAATGCATCGGCGATGCATCGGCGATGCATCGGCGAGGTCGGCGACGTCGGCGACGCATCCGCGACGTCGGCGTTGGGAAAATCGGGCTGCACATCGAGCCGCATCGTCGATGCATCGACGATGCGGCGCGATCCTCCGACCCCACCTAGGAGGCATAGTGGGACATGCCTTCCGTGGGGCGCCCGTCCTCGATAGGGGTGCGTCCGAGTAGCCACATGGAGGTATCTCCCCATGCTCCCCTATTTGTCTGAGTTATGCGCCGGGGAGACGTAAGACCCGAGTACATTTCATCCCCGAGGGCATTGGGTTCCCCAAACTCCTCCGGTACCATCACCATCAGCTCCTCCTCCTCCTCCTGCTCCTCCTCTTGGCCGCAAGAGACACGACAGGCTCTAGGACTGCACACCAGGAAGCTCTTTATCACGGGCCTCTGCCAGGATACTGCTACGGATGTGAAGTTCATGAAGCCTCTGATGATGAATGGGATATCGCAAAACGTGCTGACAGTAGATGCATCAGGCCTGAGTCGGACTCTTGTCCGCTTACGTCTGCCCTGGCCTGGATAATGACGGCACCTACAATGGCGCCATAGCGTCCATTCTCAGGTACTCCAAACAGTGGCTGTTCCTTGCCTAACGTCACGGTCATGACTGAATAGTTCGGGACCAAGCTGAACCTCACTCTCACCGCCTTGCTCAAGGGGCACCTCAGGCTGGCCATTTAGACCTGCATGATGAAACACTTGGCGCCAAGCTGTTGGCCAATGTGCCCCATCCGATGCGAATTTGCCACGACCAAGCACATGCTCAGTTGCATGCATACCAGAAAGTTTGCTTCAAAGCTGGCGAGTGCACTGCAGTTTGGTGCAGAGATAGAGCAGCAGCAGCGGCAGGATATCAACTCGAGGACCTCGCATGCCCGCTTGGGTACGGAGCGCGTGACAGGCTGACTCACCAAGGTTGGACCTGCCCGATGGCGGAGAAAAGGAAGGAGACGCTCGGGAATGGTATGCAATTGCGGACTGCTGCGGACCTCTCTGAGAATGACGATCCAGCTGAGTACCTGTTGTACAGTCGAGGGCTCTACTTGCACCCAGGGTATTATCTACGTAGACCCGTCGGCCGAATCGACGGGTACGAATCGGGTTTCAACGTTGAGCGGCCTGAAATCATGGTTGTGTGCGTGTCCAGGGCCTTAGGAGGGCCGACTTTACGTCGACGGTTCTTGTTTCAAGACCAATAGTCGAAAAATCTTCAGGGCGGGGCAGTCGAAAACAAGCTGGTAAGCTTAGGTATGTGTTACGCCTTAGGCGTTGCCATATCCCAGGCTTTGGCTCATATCGCATGAGCAAGAGAGCGAGACGAAGCATGGGATCTGGAGTATAGAGTAGGATGGGCATCGTCAATGGAAAGGATGTTTTCCGATCTCAGATGCAAGTAGTGCGCCTCGGTGAGGCACAGTCACATATTAGGCCGGGCCCGGCTTGAGCCAGGCACGGCAGCGGTACATGCTCGATTTATACCTCGCCTTTAACCTTCTCCGTTTAAAGTCGGAGGGGGAGGAGACGAGCAGGTACCGCACTTCTATTATGCGGAAAAAACAGTGCTAAGCAGCAGCGGCTGCCTACAAGGAAAGGGCGCGCGAGTAGCCTCGCTACCGGCGAGTTTCCTCGCTGCTAAAGCGCACCTGCCCGCGGGTTTCCCCGCTGGCTCGGGAGGCAGGGCCGTCCTGAGACGACCTGCCCGCCCTATACGGCGCATGTTTCTTCAGCTCGTGCTTGAAGGATTGCTGGCCGGCCATTACTTGTAGGAGCAACGCGCGGTCAATGCTACCTTTGGTATGACCATCGGCAGTCATATCCCGCGTGTCACACCATTGGACGCTTTCCACGATTCCACGTTCCATCATCTGGCGAATCCAGCTGATGTGCCCAAGCAGAGTACACTCTGTGGGCTTCTTCAGATCCTTGCTAGACAAAGATTTGAAGACAGACTCGGCATCAATAGTCAGAGTGACTTTGATACATAGACCACCCATTTCCAATATGTTCTTCAACTGTGTGGGGGTCAATGGTCCCGAGTGTAGCTCGTGGAGCGTTACAATGGTCGGGTAGCAGTCTTCCAAGTTGTGGGCTGCTGCCAGTGTTTCCGCAGAGTAGCTCGAACGCACTTGCAGTCGATGAGACTTGCAGTATGCGTCCACCAGGTGCACGACGGGTTTCCCCGCTTGCGTGTGGCCACGCCTCAGCAGGTTAGCCCCGCGGATACCATAGCCTTTGACTTCGTCGTCTTCATCTCCGTTGAGACGACGATAGCCAGAATCGCTATGCAGGTCGACTTCTCCTGTTGGAGTCATAGCATGATACACGATCTTCTTCGGACCTGCCTGCAATTTTCTGGTAACCGCGT